AGACTTTCAGAGTCATGAAATTTATAATATTTTTTTATTCAATTTTAAACTCCTTTTCAGTCTGCCTAAAAATTATTTCTTTTTCTGCATTTTTGCAGATCATTCGGACGTCACTGGAAGGAGAAGTCAAACCTTTACATCCAGATTTATAATATTTGAAACCTAGCAAACCATCATATGGTTCTGTTGAAACTAAAACTGAGAAACAGATATTACATTTTACTTTATAAGCTAAGCTTTTAACAACAAAACCAGCTATATAAGATGTATACTTTTCGTTCTTCAATATTCTTATTTTTCATTAGTTATAATGCTAGGAATTAAAATTTACCTATAATTTAAAAAAGCAGCAAAAAATTATAAATTTTAAAGAAAAACTTTCAAAAATTCATTTTTAGGCATTTTAGTATGTAGCTATAGTTTAGTATTAGTTATAGTTTTAGTAATTGTAAAGAGGAAATTACTTGGTTGAATTTTTCTGTTAGTTCAGATTTAAAATATTATTTTCTAAAAGAAGAAGTTACAAATTCGCTTACATCAGAGGAAAAGCTAAAAATATATACAAGCCTGAAGCATGCAATAGCTTTATAATTTTAGAACGTTAATTATGCTTGAAAAACATGCTAAGTATTTAAAAAGCAATCTCAGTGTCAAAATAAAAATATTTAAAAATTCTTACTTGTGAAATGAGGCACTACCACCAGCTTTTTCGTGACAATTGTACGCGCTGCAAATAGTCCAACCATTGCTAATTTCTGGAAGTCGTCCCTACTCCTCCGGATGTGATCAAGGTGACAGCCGGAACGCGCCAGACAAGGGAGAAAACGCAATTGGGTTAGTCTATTTCTTATAAGGTCCATGTAGTGGTGACGATATTCTCATTTTCGATGATGATGATAGTGAAAACGATTTTTATGGTTTTGAAAGCGATTAAAGTCTAATTTCATGATAGGCAACGTTTTCCTTGAGTCTGTGTTTTTTGTTGTTTCTGCTTTATTTTATATTATGTTTGATTGCTTGCCGTTCATTCATTTATTCATTATTGAAATTTACATATCATGTTCCAAATAGCTTGCCGTTTGTTAATTTTCCTTAATAAAAATATGTTTGGTAATTGCATTCAATCATTTTTTATTTGGCTTTTACGAAACGTGTGAACTAAAAGAAACATTTTAAGTTATTGTGGTACCGCGCTGTCGCGCGGACTATTGAAACTTTTTTTCCTTGTGTGTGGCCTTCTAAATAAGGGTGCGTCTTATATGCCGTCAAATACGGTATCATTCAAGGCACAATATCCGGAGCTGTTGCTTACTTGTTGAGATTCAACAGAGAATCTGCTATTTTGTCTTATGCGTTTAACAGTATTCCAATTAGAATCATCCAGCGTGGGGGTTCTCCTGATCTTTTAGTTTCCTTGAATTAACTTGCATATCACTTCCTAACGGTTTTGAAAAGCGCAATATCGAGATCATAGTGTTCCTTCATAAGCGATGCAAGAATTCTTTCCTCGTCGTTCGTGAGCTCTACCGATTGTTCCTAGTAACGAATGTGCCAGTGTCCTTTAAGTTCAAGTATTCGATTAATCTTATGGTAAATGAATCCGCGAGGCGGATCGTCTTCCATGATTAGTTGGTTTGCGCTGGGTTCCGTAAACGTAAGCTGATCCACATTCGAGAAGAAAAAGCAAAAAATAACTTACCAAAGTTCGAGATGTCATGGAACTTTCGACCTGTCTCTTCGAGCTCAGTGCAAGAGAAATACTCAAGGCTTATCTATGGCTGGCGCAGTCTTTGTGGATTCGAAATTTTGCTGCCAAGCGCCTTCCTAAATTCTAAAAATTTTGCGTCCCAGTGCTTTGCCTAAATTCTAAAGATTTTGCCTTCCCTTAATCTCTAAATTCTAAAAATTTTGCGTTCCATAAATTCTGCCGCCTGGTACGGCCGCACCAGCTTTGGCAATGGTCCACTCCTTATCCGAATAATAAACCAGTTATGCAGAATTATAAACAGCACTTAATGTAATCTTTTGGCCTATGAGTATCATTTACAAAATCTATTTTCTGCACATAGAAAGGAATTTCTATTAAGTTTCTCCTTGTCAACACACTCAGTACTTCGAAATGTAGTTAGTTAAGGTCTGTAATCATTGCCAAGCGTAATGTGAATGTAAACATTTACTATGCTCTTTGGTTTTCAAATACTAATATTTTAAAAACAAAATTGTTTGGACATAGCTGTCATTTCTTAAGTGTGCTGATAATTCAGGCTGTAATGAAAACAAAAAATAATAATAATGATTCACCAGGTTGTCATCAGTGTCGAAGTGAAATTAAGAAACGAGTCTGACCACATGTTTTTATTATGAAAAAGGTCTCAAATTTTCAAGCCTAGGGCATAGAAAAAAGCTTCTAAAAAAGATTGGCGATTCAGAAGTCCTGATTGTAAATCATTCCGCATACTGGACGTCCAGATTTCGGACTTTGTACTGTAATTACTTATTAGGCGTATGTCCCTAAGAATGTGGGAGATGAGATAAATAAGTTTATTATAATTATTTATTAATTAATAAACAGTAGAAAACAGATTATTATTAAAATGAGCAAAATTATAAATTTTAGTCAAATTTTTTCTTTGTTAAAAAAAGTTATTTTTTATTATTCGTTATGTATTGATAGTAATATGGAAATTAAATTAACATATCTTCGTAGTTTTAAGATTTGGGCTAAAAGTTCTTTTTTACTGTTGGCCTCATTTGTTTTAGTCCAAAGGGGCTTTATCCCTGAAGGACTATTGTTTTCGTTTTGCGATTTTGCGTTGAAAACTCTAAAAGGCTGTATTACTTTTCAAACTGTTGCCACCAGATATTATCGCCCTGTATTATATTTGAAGAAATTAAATAATGAAGAATCTGCATAAATGTATGTATGTTTCTCTCATTGTGATAAAACAACGATACCTATAGAGCCACCCAATCTTGAATGACGTAATCCTCCTACGAATATGGGCATCTGGAAGCCCAAATTTGGAATTTGTTTTATTATTAATTTCATATTTTGTGAAACTTTAACAAATTTTTGACTAACAAACTCAAGGATTTCAAAACGAACAATGGCAACGTTGTACGGAAAAAAACATTTTTATCTCCAGCAGGAGAGACTGTATATCGGAAATTCTAAATGTATGCTCACTTTAAAATTATTTTGCGATATGGCTCTTGAACTGAATTTTATGGTTTAAATGCGAAGAACACGATATTTAATAAAGAAAGGTAACACACAAAATGTTAAAAAAAAACCGGTCCTTTGGACATAATTTAAAATCTGAAACCTTTCAGATTTTCTTTTTATTCATGTGTTTATTTATTTATTTTATATACACTCATGTCCATAAATTAAGCATAATTTGGATTCACGCGGAAATCGAACTCTAAAATAAATATATCACCTGTAAAATCACTACACAGATTTTCAAGAATAAATATGCAAATTTCAGGAAGTAATCAGATGACACCGATGGTACGTACAATAACGAGAGTGTAAGAGAGTGATATATAAGGAATACAGGCAAAGAAGTAAAATTGTTCGCAGGCGCTTTATAAACATTTCAGTGCAATAACCGAATAGTTATAATAGAAAGGACGCATTTGGATGATTTTTTACGTGGTAGAATTATCGGCCGTCTGGAATGTGTGCGTACCAAACTGGAAGTATCAGACAAACTTGGAATTGCCCAGAGTGTCATCTCCAGGCTTTGGCAACGACTCCAAGATGATGGTAATGTGAGTCGACGTTACAGCACAGGTCGCCCCAGAGTTACAACACCGAATGAGGACCGGTATTTGGAAGTTACTGCCAAAAGAAACAGGCGGAGCACAGACTCAGACCTGTCTCGTCAGCTCTCTTCAGCCACTGGTACGACAATTTCAAGGGAGACCGTGTACAGACGCTTAGGGTAGATTGGTGTATATGCTCGTAGACCTGTCAGATGCGTTCCACTTACTGCAACTCACTGTCGCCTGCGGTTAGCCCAGAGTAGACAGCATGCATTGTGGACATCGCAACAGTGGGCTTGTGTGATGTTTTCAGACGAGTCCAGGTTTAGCTTTCAGTCTGATTCTCGTCGGACTTTCATATGGAGAGCTCCTGGTACCCGTTACCACCAAGAAAACATCATTGAAAGACACCGTTACGGTGGTGCAGGAGTGCTCGTTTGGGGCGGAATTATTCTGGGTTCCAGAACTGACCTGCATGTTCAAATTGGAACCATGACAAGCCAAATCTATCGGGACGTCATTCTGGAACAACATGTACGTTTGTTTCGGGGCGCCATGGGCGCACAATTTGTGTTTATGGATGACAACGCCCGTCCTCACCGTGCAAACATCGTAAGCGAATGCCTTCAATCGGAGGATATCACCCGTATGGACTAGCCAGCATTCTCACCGGACTTAAATCTTGTAGAGCACGTGTGAGACATGCTTGGCCGACGAGTTGCAGCCCGTCAATCTCCTCCTACATGTCTATCGGAACTTCGGAGATCATTGCGTTTTGAGTGGTGTAATATCCCCCAAGATCAGATCGATAATTTGATACTCAACATGCCTAGGCGTTGTACGGACTGTATTGCATCGTCTGGGAGACATGCAATGTATTAACATTCATACCAACCATGTAATATTGGTTTTTTGTAATTTTCTCCAGAGAGAAAAAAATCGCTAATTTTTTTAATAATATCAAACATATAGCATCTTTTTTTGCTCTTTACCTTTTGTTTAATAAATAAGCTTTACAAATAAGTCAAATTTGTTTTGCTTCTAACTCTTCCTTTGCCTGATTTTGCATTATCCTTAATTTATAGACATGAGTGTATATATATGTGTGTGTGTGCATGTGTTATTACCAATTTTACTAGTTTTATTTGATTATAGAATCATTAAATACCATACAGACCTATTTTTATACTTTTGTTTTCGTATTTTGTAAATGTATTTGTATTTTCTAGCTCGTGATATACAAAGATGGGAATATGTGCCTTTAGGACCATTTTTATCAAAAAATTTAGGAACAACAATTAGTCCTTGGATTGTTCCGATGGAAGCATTGCAGCCGTTCATATGTGAGAATGTGCATCAAGATCCTGCTCCATTTCCTTATCTTCAACACTCAGATGCATATAACTTTGACATTCATCTGGAAGTATTATTGCGACGTGAGTAAAACACTAAAACTATTTCAGTTTATCATTTTGCAATTTTCTTTTTTAAGAAAAAAAAGAAGAGAATAAGGAGGCAGACTAAGGTTCTCATACCATATTTACACATTTATATTTTCCACATTTATATTTATTGTCATATAAATATAAATTTACACATTTATATTTATTGTCATTTATTTTATACTTTTGAAGTTGAGGGTCAAATTACCTACAGAATACTACTTCTGAGGAAATGATAAAAGAAGAGTGTATGTGATTAGCAAATGTGATTTAAATATCGGGTTTTTAACGAAAGTTTCCCGCCACCGCAAATATCGTCTGCGCAAAGAGGCGTGTTTAATCATATTTTGTCAAACGATTTTTGGCATTTGAAAGAGACTTACTTTTACACTCTGTTGTGAAATTTCTAAAAAACTATCGTAATCATTAAGGGGTCTAGTGGCGGATAGGGTCGTTGGGCCGGAGCGATTTCGGGTCGATCAAGAAACTCGATCGAATCAACACAGATGACTCGACGAGACAGCCCTGCGTGTAAGGGAACGTGCGTAGAATTAATACTTTCACTCAAAAGTATATCTTCGAATGATATACAAAATGTACAGATACGACAAATGGCAAAATCTATTCCGGATAAAATATCAACTTTTAGAAAAATTTTGTCTGCTCACGTATATTTGATAATATTTCAATATACTAAGCCGGTAACGAAATATTTGAAGACGAAAGGATTACATTAAATCCAAGCATATAATATGGTTAGGGAGGCTACAAGCTCTTTACAAGCTACTTCTAGGAAACTTTGACTTAATATTTAATGCATCAAAATCGTTTGCAACGGATGCAATAATAAACTACAACAGCTGGGTTGTGATATAAATATACAAGAACTATCAGGTTCAGTGTTCCTCCTTACTTGCTTTGGGAACATTAAATGACCTGACTCGGAACAGGGAGCTTACTAAAGCTATGTTCAATAAATGTGGGGAGTAGACAAGATACACAGGAAGGGTATACGAAACCCTTTATTTTTCTCTCTTTACAATGATTTCCGGACTTCGGAATACAGAGACCAACCACTTGTGGTCTGAACGTAAGAATATGAAAATATTAACTAAACTCTAACTAAACTAACTTTGGATTAATAAACAAGTGCCTACTTGAAGATTGGCCGTATATTAACAGAAAGGCCGTATGTAGTACAGAGAACTGTTAACACTACGATACGTTTAAAATTATCACGAGGATTAACCTCTGGCCTTGAAGGCAAACCAGCAACCGAGTAAAACTGCTATGGCAAGCGGCCTGCTCCTAATCACTCCTTCCTCTCTCTCTGCTTGGCAAAAAGCCACAACTTAAGTAGTACTTGGCGTTCGCAAGACAAATTTGCATAAATAAGTTAAAGCTTTTAATTCTGGCCGGAAGTAGAAAATAAGAAGTGATAGTAAAGATTTAAAATAAAATAAACGTTAGTAAAACTTAAGATCCTTACAGAACTACCTGCTAGAAGATGCCGAAAAATGAAACAAATGAACGACGAAGAATCGTCCGACTATAATTTCAATTGCCCTATCAAACAATTCGAAGTTACTGCCTTTAACTTCATAATGGATACTAACCCTTTCATCGATGGGACGTAGGTTTAAAGGGCATAAGAAGTTGTATTAAGACATATCACTTCTCGATCCCCAAAACTTTCCGAAGCCATTGTCACCGAACTCTTTCGACTATTTATATATATTATTAGGGCGCTATGCAGGTGTAACAATTGATAATCTTATGAATGAATATCAGGACCTAGTAATTAAATGGGTTAAACGGTAATTTGAATGCAGATCGGTACATTCCTGACGTCTTACGTCCAGTGGTTGTGCTCTAGTATTCGATTGCTGCCCTTGCCTACATGGTCTCCAGATCTGTCACCCATTGACAATATCTGGTCATGCATTGCTGAGAGACTGGCCCGCCAGCCCTCTCCAGCTAAATACGGTTGATGAAATGTAGCATAGATTTGATGCAGCATGGAATGTGTGCCCGATTCTGTCATTCAAGCCCAGTTCGACTCCATGCCTAATTAGGTAAGGGCTGTTTTAGATACCAAGGCTGGCAGCTGTTTCTACTAATTTCGCGCCCCTGAAAACCTCCAAGCTGCTTACAAATTTAATCATTTTATCTTCATGCCATACTGTTTACGTACAATAAATATCTTTTTTGTATTTGCTTTCCTTCATAGTGTTGCAATTTTAATGGCCAGCAGTGTATCAACAAGTTAGCATAAAATTATAGATTAGGGTCATGGTTAGGAACGTTCCCCCTCACCTAACTTTATTATGAACGTTTTTTGGCGGAAAACTTTCGTTACAACTAGATAGATGCATTAGCATTACTTTTGGTTATTGACTTCAAACATTACTGTTGATTAGTAACTTCAATGCTATCATTATTACTATTTTTGTATTGGTGCATTGTTGTCTTGGCATTCGAATAAAAGCAAAATGTCTTGTTAAGCTACATTATATAAATCTGATACTCAGTACCGTAAAGGCATACAATAATGAATTTTAAAAGAAATTAATGAAGAAGATTGGGCAGTTTATCAGTGCTATGTATATCCTTTTTTAAGGAGTGGCTAAAAATGGATTCCAGGAAGACAGGCAGTGACGTAATTTTGTGAAAAGAAATGTGTGCTCCTAAGGCTCTAAAGACAGACATATTAATCTACCACCTAAGCATCTTATTCCATGGAGAAATTGTCTTTATAATCTCTTCAATTTATCTTCATAGGGGCTGAGATGAGTAACCTTGGCTAGGATTTTAAAGGGATAAACTAGAGGCATGTACAAAAAATTAGTGGTGTGAGAACTTCCAGGAAGTAGTAATTCTTGTGAAAGAATTGGTTTCCAAAATTCGAGGATTAAATTGTATATTATGCAAATTAATCAAATGTTTCTGAATAATATGCTAAAAATACTAGGAGTAGATGAAAGCGAGAAATATGCAAGTAAAGCAAGTAAATATGCTATATTATGTATAAATTTTTAATTACAGTTATTACAGTTGTTTTACGTTGGAAATCTTGAAAATTTTAAGGATGGAAAGGGGAATGGCATTGGTTACAGGCAGCAAATTTAAAAAAAAAAACATTTTATGTATGATTATTATTATTTTAATTTTACCCTCAGCTAGTATTTATGCTATTAAATTATTTTTAACTGATGTGTTTATTTAAAATTATTATGAAGCTAAAAAGATTACTTTTTTTTTTTTTTTTTTTTTTTTTTTTTTTTTTTTTTTTTTTGAATGAAATAGAAATGTTTTATAATTTATTTGTTTAGAAACATGGAAACTTTCTGATTTGGTACTTAGTTTTACTTTAGGCTAATTTTAAGAAAAGTGTATTTTGCTATTTCTTACAGTCATCTTCTCATCATTCCGTTTGAAATTATAAAATCTGTATATTTTTCTTTATTGATTACATTTTTATTGATATTTCAATTAACTGATACTTTTATTTATTTATTTTCAGCTGAAAATTCTAAAGAAACTTCTGTTATTTCAAGATCTAATTTTAAGGTTGGTAAAAATCAGTAATTGTTTTTAAAAAATACATAAAAACTTCAAAATTTTTATGGTTGTTCTTGAAATTAGTTTCTTAGCTAGCATTTTTATTCCATTTCCATAGTATTATTTTAATATTATTTTCTTTCACAGCCCTAAAATATTCTAACTTAATATTCTATATATAGTATATAGTTTTCAGTAATTCTGTAATATATATGGTTTTATAAATTGACATAGGTTTGTATAAATTTATTATTCATATGTATTATTCATAAACTTATTTTTTGTTAAAAATTTCTTAGAATATGTACTGGAGTATGAAGCAACAACTAGTACATCACACTGTCACTGGCTGCAACATGAATGTTGGAGATCTATTAGCATCAGGAACAATTAGTGGCAAGGTAAGATGTAATTAATAGCTATTTTGAAAAAGTACATAACAAAATTTTATACATTTCACTAAACAGGTAGAGCGAATTTGCTGCTTTGCAATTTACTTTATTCCGGTTGTTTTTAGAGTCTTTTTTTTTCTTTTTTAGCAATTATGAGACATATAAATTATTTAAAAATCAAGATTTATATTTAGAATACACGTTAGTAACGTTTATGATTCTTTTTTTAGTCTCCAGATTCTTATGGGTCTATGTTAGAACTTTCATGGAAAGGAACAAAACCTATTACTTTACTAGATGGGCAGATTAGAAAATTTTTGCAGGATGGAGATGAAGTTACCCTAACAGGTAACAAAAACTCTGCTGTTTTAATTGTGTTATTTTTGCTTTTTTTAAGAAAATAATTTACTATTTTTACCATTGATATGACCTTCACTGTTTAATCTTTTGCACATTTTAAAGGTTATTTTTGTAAATTTGTTTGGTATTATAACATAAAAATATCAGTACTCGTACTGATATATATATATATATATATAATACGCATCATTCATTATTCCATATTTTTTGCATTTAATTCATTAATACTGTTTTAAATCTTGCTAAGTTGATTTAATTATTTAAATTGAAATTAAAAAGGTCATTTATGAAATTTGAGAAGAATCTGGATTTAGTATTCAGAGAACCTGAACTGCAGAAAATTTCATAAAGTGCTTAAAGTACCTGTAAAGTTAATTAATCATAGAAACAATGATAGTTGTTCTAGTTGCATTAATATGCATTAATATTAACGTTTTGATGAATTATAGTGACACATCATGCTTCAGTAGCTGTGTTTGAAACTGAATATTGTATAACCATACAGATGTCAATGATAAAAAGTATACAGATTCAGGAGTTTTGTAGAGCTGATTGTTCTGTAATATACTTTGTTAGGAGGAGGAATTATTTTAAAAAATTGATTTAGTGATCAAAAGAATTTATAGAATACAAGTTTTTCACTTTTATGGTTGTCTAAGCTATAATATGCCTTTAATATTATCAAATGAAAGATGAGTTATGAGCTGTATCTTGAGATTTTAATTAAAAATTAGAAATAGAGGAAAAGTCATAGATACCAAATAATAATAATAATAATAATTTAATAAAACTATTCTCAGATTTCAATCATAATTCCTATGCGTTTGGAGTTTCTGATTATAAATCTTATTTTTAATCAAATAACATTTACTAAAAATAAAATAATAATAATGATAAGGTTGTGTGATGATTGTGATCCAGATTTCAATATTTTCTGATTATGAGGAATTTAGAACATTAAAAATTCATTAGAAAGCCAAAGCTGGACCTTTTCTTACCAATTAGCTTTAATTATTGTGCAATGAGTATAGAAACTTTGAATATTGAATAAGAGAATATATTTTGTATTTGAAATTTTTGCAACCAAAAATTGAAATTACTGGCCCCTTCGAAATTAAGTATGAGTCTCTGTACATTTATATAATAAAAGGTGGCAAAGTTTACAATGGCTCAGCTGTGCTGCAGGGATAGTGCTAAGCATTTTGCCACCCAGTATGCAATATCTGTAGATCCTAAATTCTGTTGCCCAGTCAACACCTCCTAACAGAAAGTAGCCCAGAATCTTCCCTAAATTCTAACAATTTTGCCAGCTTTAAATTTTGCTGTTTGGTGCTTGTCTAAATTCTAAAAGTTTTGCAACTCCTAAATTATTTTGCCTGGTGTGACCTTAAAATCTTTACTGGCCTTGTTTTGTCATAATGCCATGCACAGCAATTCAAGACAAGCATGGCAGTATGTTTTTGTGCATGTTTAGTTAATAAACATTTGAAAAACATTATAGACTTATTCTGAGCTCATATCAATATTTTCATGAATACTTGATACCTCTATACATTTTATTTTTATTAAATTTTGCATACCTCTATGATTTGTTTATATCACATCAGAAATAGATCTATTTGCATAGTAAAAAATTCAATGTAGCAATTTCTCAGAGAACAAATATCATCTTTACTTGATTTATTCAATTATGCAGATGATCATCAAAAATTCAAAAAAATAAGCAACTCAGAAACTGGATACTTCTGTATCTATCAAAGTTAAGGCTAGCAGCTTTCTGTGAAGAAATCATGTTATGTAATTCTTTTTCTCTCATTACTAAATAACTATGCAAATGTAAAATATTAAATACTTTATACATCTTTTACTTTAAATAAAGCAGAAACGATATTACAAATATAACTTAAACAAAGATTCTTGAGAATTGAAAATGTACATACTTATCTTTCTCATTTTATTCTGTAGACCCAAAAGTACAAGCACAGTGATTAGAAACTAGGATGCATGGAAAATTTTTAGCCATTCATAAAAATGCATAACTTTTATATATTTTACTATATTTTAATGCTTAATTCTTCCATCTAATAAAATAAGTAATTTAAATCTGAATTTAATTATTTTATGTAGTTAGTACTATCATGTATATTTTTTAATTAAAAGTTTTTATTTCTTTCAAAAATTTTCCTGTTATTATTTAAATTTTTTGTCATGTTGAAAGATCTACAGATGACGTAAAAATTTCTGAAGTATGAAAATATATGCTGCACATATTTCTTTTCAAAGGATTTAATAACAAGAGAATCTGAAACTTAAATACTATTCTGGTGTGTTTTTCTTTTCTCTTATCAAAACTGTTTTAATGCTTCTCCACCCCCATAGGATATTGCCAAGGTGATGGATACAGAGTTGGTTTTGGAACTTGTACAGGCAAACTCTTGCCAGCCCTTCAATTCTAAAATTAATGAGAGACTACTCTTATCAAAAAGAAGAAGCATTTAAAAATTATTTTGTATACTTTATTTTGAAATAAAATATCAAAGTATTTTTTCACTGCACAAGCTTTATTTTTAAGATTAAACTTTCATTTCCATTTGCTCTTGGCGTTTTGTGCAATCATTACTTCTTGGCGCAACACGATAAAATGAAGTACCAGGTACACTCCAAATTCGGTCGCTTCGTAGTTAGATAATGATATTTAAATCTTGTAAAATTATTTATGATTTTTTTATAACGCTAATCAAAGGCATTGTGGAATAGTTCTTTCTTGATAACGTGTTGTCTGTTTTTGTGTGTGTGTGTGATTATGGCAAAGGCTCGAGGGCTATCTGCCTAAGGGGAGGGATGCCTTCGTGGAGGACTTTCTAAGGGAAATTGGCTCGTATACACGTTACACATGGGGAAAACCACGAAAACGCCCATGCAGCCAGCCCGTTTGCAGGATTCGAACCTCGGACCGAACTACCAGTGTTCAGCGACTTTACCGCTCGGCTGCTGGTGGGCCTTGCCTGTTTTTGAATACTATTTGTTATTGAGCGATCACGATCATGGCCGCTGCGCAACACCGAATTTGTGCAATCCTCTGAGATTAAGTGGTTTGGTTTGGTTTATTTAATTATGGCAAAGCACACTAGGGCTATCTGCCTAAGGGGAGGGATGCCTTCGTGGAGGACTTTCTAAGGGAAACTGGCTCGTATCCACGTTACACATAGGGAAAACCACGAAAACACCTATGCAGCCAACCCGTTCGCGGGATTCGAATCTCGGACCGAACTACCAGTGTGCAGCGACTTTACCGCTCGGCCGCTGGTGGGCCTGAGGTTAAGTGGAAACAGGTCGCTAAGGAGATATGTGAGGTAACTTGAATATAGGAAAACACACGACGAAGGCTATCTGCCTAAGAGGAGAGATGCCATCTTGGAGTACTTCCTAAACAAAACTGGCTCATATTAACGTTGAATATGGAGAAAACCAGCTATGCAGCCAACCTGTTCACCTGTGCTCAAACCTAGGTCAAACTGCCAGTATCTTAACCACTTAGCCATTGGTGCGGTCAACAAATGGGAAGAAGAACGGTAATCAGAGTCGTAGCTAAGGTTTTCAGCGCCCAGGGACAACTGAAGATTTCGCGCCCCCTACTGCTTGCCAAGGATAGAAAACATTTAATTCTAAAATGTCGTAACATCAGTTTGGCGCCTCTTGGATTCTGCGCCCAGGGACAGATGCCCCCCTTGCCCCCCTCTAGCTACGCCCCCGACGGTAATGTATCTTGTAATCCTTTTTTAATAATTAAAATGTGTGTTTTAAATTGCTAAAATTGCACCTGACATAAATTTTACCACGCAACACACTGTATTACTTTATGATCAGAGGATTTAGGTTAATAAAATCTGTAATTGAACTACATAAATTTCAGTTTTATTCATCCTTTCATTTAGAAAGCTAAAACGAAGAGTACAATACGTAGCTGAAAAATTATAATATTGCGTGAGAGCGCAGGTCCCTTTTCATTGATAGTCGCGCATTAAGGTATAGCAGATCCACTGGACGTGGATAGGGAATATTTTCATATTAGAATTCGTTCCTCAGTAGCCAAATGGTACTGCTGAATGCTGGTAGTTCGAATCCTCGCGAACTCCCTGGCAACATTGGAGCTGTCGTGGTTTTCTGCTAATATGATGTTAATATGAGCCAGTTTTTCTCAGAAAATTCTCCACGAAAGTATTCCTCTTTTTTCATAGAAAATCCCTATATGCTTTATCGTATTGGAGACAAGCAACAAACATATTGGAGAACCGCAAAACAGTTTATTTGGTAAAGGATGAAGCGTTATCTGCGTAAGGGAATAGAAGTTTTCGCGGAGGACTTTCAAAGGAAACCTGCTTCTTATATATATTACATATGAGGAAAATCAGGAGGAAATATATGAGGAACATCTTTGCAGTCGGACCATTCGCAGGGATTAGAATTATCTTGTTCAGCTGCCTTATCCACTTTGCCACTAGTGGACCATCAGACCTCTTAGAGTCGCATTAGACTCATTGGCGTAATGTGCATCGAATTAGCCCTTATGTTTAATAAATATTTTAACTGTGGCGATCGGTCCAAAAGCATCATTTTGTTGAAATTTACGTTACTCTTCAGTGTTTGAAATACATTCATTTTAAATATAAAATGAAAACTATAAAGATGAACAAAAATGTATTAATTTAAAAACATTTATAACTGTAAAATTTGGTTGCATTAACGCGCACTTAGAAGGCTTAAAGAGAATATTTGAGAACGAAAATCAAAATTGATCCTATTGTCAGAGCGACTGAAGGAAGTCAATGGTGATCAAGAAGTCGATAGCTGAATGTGCACTGACAATTGATAGTCACAATCAAGATCCTATTAATTACAATAATAGCTTATGATTAATTGTTACTATAAAGCTATATCATATAATAAGAAAGAAACCACATAAAATAAATTCCTTGAAGTTGGCAACCCTATGGTGACATAATTAATAAAATTCAAAAAGCAAATATTGTACTTGGCTTATATATATTCATTGTTCAACGCCTGAAGAGGATGCCAAAACTTTAAGGATACTGAGGACTTACATAACGAAGCGTACTGAAAACCAGGTCGCCGCCAAACTGCAAAAGCTGCAAATGGACCTCGAGCTTATGGCTACTGAAAACTTAATTGATCCAAACGAACTTACAGATCCTAACAGATCAAATATTTTCAAGAAGACGTCACCGGCAGTTTTTCCTTCCCAATCCGTGAAGAAAAATAAACATTTAAGAAGTCGACTAAATTGGCTATCACTAGCGAAAATGACTCGGAACTACTACTCAACAACCAACCTTGGACAAAGATTGGATTATACCCACCAAATTTGCCAAGAACACATCAGCCCAAGCTACTGTACATGAGTCTTCAACAAATAATTAGTTTGAATCTTTAGAAGTTGACACTTCTGATGATTATAAAAATGGAATGCCAAGATGAAAAAGAAAACACCGATGGTGAAAGATTGACATTATCTCTGACAATACGCCAACTCTGCGAAAAGAAAGATTACTCATCTGTTCGAGACCCGCAGGTCACTTGAAAAGAGTTGCAAAGGCTTTTCTCTGAGCATCGAATACAAGGATGCAGATGCACCGAAACCCTTTTTTGAGATAAAATTACTCTTTTCTTTGATTCCAGTCGAAATCGTAATGCAGCATTTGGTCTATTTCTCAAGAAAGACATTCATTACGGTACTTTTAGGAGAAGAGCGGTCAATCCGTGGTTTACCTCCTGATTCTAATTCCAAGAAAACTGAGATGGAATGTCTTGCAAAAGGTTTTCCTGTGGTAAAAGTTACTCAATTGACAAAGAAAATTCAAGACAGCATGACGAAGCATCCTGAATTTTTCATTTCCAGGAAAAATGAACTGGTGCAGGTAGAAACAATTACTCGCTGAAGATGATTTTAGATCTGCGTGTTAAAATTAGGTCTTACAAATGAGGTGAAAGTGGCATGATTTTCTTCCGTTGTCAGAGATTATTCCATGGTCAGATCTGTAACAACCTGCTTAGACGCCCGAAGTGTAGTCGGAGTCGCCTAACCTACACATGTATTATCTCCAAGGAAGAGAAACTAACTTGTATTCATTGCAAGCTGGATCACGAGGCCTTTTCGAAAAAATGTGAACTTTAACCCAAAATTCGCACCAAGAAAGAAGATGAGAGGCTCTCTCGAGACCGAAGAAACTTACTGACAATGATGCACAGGATCGTAACATCCAAGTACCGGATGAAAATGCCGTTGCAAAAGTGCAGTTGCTCGACCAAACATACTCGGACTACTACTACAAAAAATCCGAAGCCTATTTTTAATGTAGATTAAAGAATAAATAATTTCTTCAGCAAATTTATCCAGATTGCCGAAAACTGCAAGATTAAAACCACCGAAAAGAAGCTTCTGCTTGCACTTAGTACCATTGACATGGCTGGAGTAAAACTTTAAATTTCTACTTCTTTGTTGGATGAAATTGAAGACTCATTGGTCTTTTTCTTCCTATCATCTCATATTTCCCTCTGGGAACTTTCATCGTGATGTGCGTAAGGATTATTTAGTGAACCGGACACATCGCGTTTTTTGATTAATGTTACCGATACCGATAACATAAAAAAAACTACAAGGAAGAGGCTTCAATTTCGTTGAAGCTAAATGATCATCTTCGGTTTTCTTTCTGAAATTGAGACTTGTTTATAATGACTGACACTGAATAAAAAAGAATTCCATTACTACTTCTATAATTGTCCGTTATTGAAAAGTATTGTAATATCTCAGAAAATATATTGTTATATACAAGCCACTTGGCGAACTTTAAAAATCTTTTAAAGTTCTCTTCCAAGAACCTCGTAAAACCGCTTAACTGCCGTATATCTGATCTTGATATGATGCAAGAAGAGTTAAATACATCAAAGGGGGATGTTCAAACACAAGTCTTATTCAAAACACATGGATGCGTTAAATTTTGGGAATTAAAAGTCATTCGATAGAAATATTCCCAAACAAAAGTTGTTACCGAACCAACATTATGCAAACTGGAATTTCATTTTCTTGTAAAATTTCAGTAAGAAGAATTTCTTGCTGTTATTGTTCAGTTCCTGTGCATACTTTTTTAATTCTGGTAATTTGATTAAAAATATATTTCCTATAAATTTTTTAAAGATGTTGGTATTCCAATTTATAAGTTTAATTGTTGAAAAATGGAATTGCATTCTTTTATCAAATAGCCTTATACTTCTTTAAGTTTATAAATGCTAATATCCAGATAATCTACAATTAATTTATTTTTATTAATCTTGTTAAGTTTTAAACAGTTAAAGTGGAAGTTGCTAATTTTAATGGGATTATTATTTTTGAATGTAATAATATTATCAGTATATCTGAATGTGTGTTCAAATGTACTGAAATCATTTTCTGAAAGTTTTCTTTTTTTTTTAAACATATTTGTTAGAAAACAAATACAGGTTACATAAGTGAGATGAGTAAGAAATTCGCATTGGAATA